CAGCTCCGGCCGCCCCGAGAGCTGGCGCGACGCGGCTCGCTCTGAATGACAGCTTACCTGCGTGCCAATCTTCATCAGACTGACACCGGCCTGACTGCACAGCCTATACTCACTGCCCGGCCCTGCCCGCGTCACCGGCTCCGCCCCGACCCGCGCACCCCGCCCCCGGGCGCCGCGCACGGCGCCACCAAATCCTACCGTCTCCCTCTAGCGGGCTCGCTGCATCGCGGAGCCATCGGAGGTGCCGACTGTCTCCTTCCAGCGCTCTGATCTTTGGCCTGGACACCGGCCTGACTGCACAGCCTATACTCACTGCCCGGCCCTGCCCGCGTCACCGGCTCCGCCCCGACCCGCGCACCCCGCCCCCGGGCGCCGCGCACGGCGCCACCAAATCCTACCGTCTCCCTCTAGCGGGCTCGCTGCATCGCGGAGCCATCGGAGGTGCCGACTGTCTCCTTCCAGCGCTCTGATCTTTGGCCTGGCGGCACTTGGACTGCGGCTAAATCCGGACCAAGACCGATGCAGCCATGAAGGGGCGGCTGGGAGCCGGATGCGATTGCGCGGGAGTCCTGCAGAGACGCACGGGACTGATTCGGCTCCTTCTTTCAGAGGAAGTCTGGCGCGTCAGCTCCTACAGCCAGGGGTCGGGACCCCTGCTTTACTAGGAGTGCCCGGGATTAGAGCCAGGAGAAGAGGTTCTGGAGGTTGCATATTCTTTGAATCCATGTCTATTTCTAGTCATTGCCAGATAGGCAGTGCAGCGGTCACAGGCTCTTCACAAGGCAATGCTTATTTGATTTTGGCTTAATCCTTTCAAATGGATTTTTAAACCACCACAAAAGAGAAACCTTTGTGATTCTCCTAGATAAAGGAAAAGGCTCTTTTTTAAACAAAGCACCCAGCTTGGATTTGAACTACTGGCCAAAAGAGCATTATTTTATTCCTTGCTTCATGTAAAATGATATACTGGAATTATAAAAGTTGAAGACTCTGTCAGAGAAGAGCCCAAATAGGAGCTAGTAAAATTATTCCAGGATTTGATCTTTCAGAGAAGCAACAAAGATGATTACACAGACAGGACCTGGCATATGTGTTCATTTTAGAAGTGATAGTGATCTCCTTCAAATCCTACTGTGGTGGGCTTGCTGCTGGGAAGGGCTCTGAGGGATTGGTGGGATGTTCCCCCCAATCAGGTGATGGCAGGGGAGAGGCTTGCCCCGCCCCTACCCAGGGCAGACCTGAGAGTGGACTAACCCCCTCCCTCTCTGATTGGTCAGTTTACAGTCTGGGGGGCAGAGCCTCTGGAGGGAATAAAAAGGAAGCATGGGGCTGGGTGCACAGCTGGGAGGGGCCAGAGGCGACTTGGGTCTCCAACGGCCTAGAGGAGGCGGAGTAAGTGGTTCACAGCCTGTGTGCAGAGGATCCGGGAGCGGACTGAGACCCCCATGCCGCACAAGGCAACTGGGGTCTCCAAACCTTGGTGAAAGACAGGGCCAACTGTGCATGGAGCGGTGCACAGGGCCCTGAGCGGGCCAGAGGCCAGGAGCCCCAAAGCAGCTGAGGGCCCCCCGCTGAGGGAAGTGACAACTCACCCTAGCAGTTGAGGACAGCCTCTCCAGGCCCTTGGAAGAGTGGTGAGTTGCCTGGGAAGGGGATTCCCACAGGGGAGAAGGATCTTTCTCCCATGATGAGCAGTTGGGGTATCTGGGGCTCCCCATTCCCCTTCTCTTGTCTAGGTCCCCTCCTTCTCCTGAGGCATTGCTATTGTTTTAATATAGTTTATTGGGGTTTTTTTCTTCTTTATTCCCCCTGGGCCCCACACGTCATATCTTGTGAACCCTATGCCTCACGTTTTGTAAAGTGGCATTCCATTAGAGTATAAGATTTGCATGACTTCTAATGAGACTCTTGCTTTGATCCCCTTTTTGATTCCTCACCTGTATATAGTGTTCGCATTGCCCTGTATATAAGCTGTTTTAGCTCCTATATCTTATGGAGAAATATGTTAACCCTATAACTTTCATATCTTATTAAATTTGTACATAGTTAAGCCTTACCACGTGTCCTGGCCTTGCTCTATAAGGGAAGGAGGGAAACTGTGTGCCTCAGGCAGTTTCACCCCTCAGCGCACCTCCCCTGCTAACATTCCCTTCATTTGGAGAGGGGAATACATCATTGGGTATACCACCCGGGTTACACTACCTTAAAACTATCACTTACTGACATGTCCAAAAATGTTGTCATCAGCCTGCTGGAGATCTAAGACCCCTGCCAATATTGCTACTGATAGCCTTTGTCTCTACACTACACACAACAAACTACCCTCTCTGGAGTCTCCGGGACCTCATATCCCTGATGGGCTCAGGTCCCTTCTAATGGGCGTACCTGGCCCTGCTGCTCCATTACCCTCCAGTCTTCCCTACCAGATGGTGGGGGCCTGGGTTAAGACTCTCCTAGCCAGATTACACCAGAGAGGTCACAGGTCTGGCATTTCTTGGGGGCTGCTCCACCACAAACATCCCTGCCAGGCCACCCTTCCCCAGCAGAGTGCAGTTTCAGGTCATGCCCAGGACCAGGAGCCTCCAAACCCCTCTATAGGTCCTGCCCTTACCTCCATGCTGTTTTTGGAGCAGCAGTTCTGCCAGGAGGTGTTGCCTTTTCCCTTCTTGAAAGCACAGAGGCGGAAAGGGATCTCAGAGTCATTATTGACTCCAAGATGAAAATGAGCCGCCAATGCCAGACCGCAGCCAGCAAGGCCAGCCATATCTTGTTGTGCATCCAAAGGTGCATCTCAAGCCGGTCCAGAGAGGTGATACTCCCCCTCTACGCGACTTTGGTCAGGCCGCAGTTGGAGTACTGCATCCAGTACTGGGCGCCACACTTCAAAAGGGATGTGAACAGCCTGGAGACGGTGCAGAGGAGGGCCACCCGCTTGGTGAGAGGGCAGCAGGGCAGGCCCTACGAGGAGAGACTGAAGGACCTGAGCCTGTTCAGCCTCAGCAAGAGGAGGCTGAGGGGGGACCTGGTGGCTGCCTACAAGCTCATCAAGGGGAAATCAACAGCAAATAGGCAGAGCTCTTTTCTCCCCAGCACCACCAAGGGTGATGAGGAACAATGGTCATAAGATGATGGAGAATAGGTTTGGGTTGGAGATCAGAAGGCAATATTTTACAGTTAGGGTGGCCAAAATCTGGAACCAACTTCCCAGGGAGGTGGTCCTCGCCCCTACCTTGGGCAAATTCAAGAGGAGGTTGGACAATCACCTGTCTGGGGTCTTGTGAACCCAGCATTCATTCCTACCTTTGGCAGGGGGTCAGGCGAGATGATCTGTTCAGGTCCCTCCTGACCCTAGCTACTATGAAACTATGAGGTGTTGCTTCCTCCGCATCTGCCAGCAAAGTGCTGCCTCACCATATAAACATTGGGACCTAAAATAGCAGTCCTAATCAAGCACCTGCTGGCTGCCTGTCTCCGGCCTTTAAAGTGGCAAGCACCCAAAGATGCGCTGCCACAGTACTTGTTCAAGGTAGGACAGTTCCTGAATTCTAGGCAGTATTCTTGACAGATTATCACATTGTGTTGATCCTATGCTGCAACATTCCCAAAGCCTCAATTTGTAGCACGGTTCTTGCTACGGTTTTTGTTGTTGTTGTTCGTTTGTTTTTGGTTTGTTTTGTTTTTTTACAAATGACATATTGAGAAACTTAAGAAACTCATGCAAGGTAGAAGATGAAAGGGAAACCCTACAAACAACTTCAAGTGAAAAACACACTAGGATATCAAGCCAATCATCTACTCCAGCAGTTCACTTGAACATGTGAATATTCTGCCAGAAGGGTTCTAATAAGAAGAGACTGTGTCAAGTGTTGTTTGAATCAGCCAATGCAATACACAAGCTGAAAGGGAAGAATGAAGTGTTGCATTGCTGAATTGGTGTCAAAGATCTGATAGTGGTTGAGGCACATTACCATCCTGAATGCAGGTGAGAGGAACAATGGAAGCAACAAGTCTCTCGTTCCCACTCACTTTCTCCTGAAGCGAGAGCATGGCATCAAGCAATTGATGAACTAGATGCTGGTTTTGCACGGAAAAATGTGTACAGTCTGAAAGATATATATATATATGATATATCATATATATCAGTTTTCAGACACACAAATCTGGATGTTAGGGTGAAATTATTCTATCAAGGAGAAGCTCTGGATACATTTCCACCAACATACGACCCCTTGTGCACCATGTATATAGAACCAATTATCAAAGTCTCATTTGGTGAAGTGCACTTGAACCTAATCCACCATTGCCATCACCTAACTAGAGTGATTGGTAAGCTGAAAATGATGGTTATGTTCTTATCAAACCATTACCAGCAGAATACCTTTGGATAACAAGTTGCAAGTGCAACACAGAATTCTGTGGATCAGCGGGCTCACACAAGCATGCATTCCTGGGTGCAAGTCCTATGACATAGCATGTTGTAATCTGTATAATAATTACAGGGATTCAGAAAAAGGGCTTCAAGTGATAAAGAGATCTGAAAAACTGCAAGTATCCATTGTATTAATGTTATATAAACTGTTGTATTATCATTAGAGTACCATTGGATTAGACCATCACATTTTCCTATAGCCTTGGGCCAAACATATGTCTGTGTGTTTCATTACTATTGATTTATGTATTATTCATATCTGTCTTATCTGCATTCTGATTTTTTTTAAATGTATTCTCTTATTTACTACAACTTGAACAAGTAGGGTGGACTGAATTATAATGTTTTCAGTACTGTAGGCCATCTATTCAATTCTAGAGTATTCACTTGACTACTCTAACACCAGCATTTCCTTTTTGGACACCATGATCAATATCCAAGATGGTAAAATTCAAACCACCATATATAAGAAACCCACAGACCAACATACATATCTACACAGAACCAGCAATCACCCTAAACACACCAAGAAACCTGTAACTTACAGCCAAGCTCTCCAGTACCACTGAATTTGCAATGAGAATGCCCATGATTGCCACCTCACAAATCTCAAAGGGGCCTTCAGCCAACAAGGACACTCCTCCAGAGACAGAGATCACAGTTTTGAAGGAGCCACCAACCCCCACAAATCGCACACCATTAGTTATGACATATCACCCTTCCCTGGAACCTACACAGAAAATCCTCAAACAATTGCAACCCATACTAGAAGAAGACCCCATTCTGAAA